TAGAGCATGCACACGTCGTCCTCCATCTTCATGAGCAGATTCTCCACCCACACCACACGCGTGTCACATACTCCGAACCCAACACATTTGTCATCCGCGTTACGACAGACTCAGCTAGCACTGACTGAGGCCCTAGCCGGCACCAGGCAAAGGACAAGCGACGCCAGCTGCCTGGCTCAGAACACATGCTCGTCCACCAAGAAATGCATGATGTGGTAGTGCTTTCCCAAAGCTTAACTTTAAACGCAGACCACGAAGGGTTGCACCCACAACGGCGTAAAGAAGATGTGGTGAACAAAGAGCTGTGCTATGAAGAATGCCAACATACACGGCCTGCCGAAGTAATGTTATGTACCAGGCATCACTCATATAGTTATGACATCATACTATGATAACCTCATCTTCAACGACGTTTCCCCCAAAACATCGCGAGCCCACCTGGAGCCCCGTGACGGACTTCGGGAGGCACTTCGGGCCCTCGGACCACCGCTACTGGAGCCACACGGGCCTCATGGCCGTGACGCTGGGAAGGGAGCCCGGGTCCTTTTAGGTTTCGGGGTCTAGGGTTTAGGGGTTTAGTAGTTTAGGGCTGTTGCTTGGAAGAGGAGGTCTCAACGATCCGTTTGCAATGTACTACTAGGAATAATTGCACAGCAGAAGGGGGCAGGCCAATGCTCAAGAAGCAGTCAAGTTTCAACTGACTCATTTGCAGAACACAAGATGTCGCGAGGCTCCGGCACAGCAGGATGCGCATGTTGATGGAATGTAAATCTAATGCAACGAATCATTCTGAATCTCAGGGGACTGCGACCAGCTGCAGGCGGTCACTCCTGCAGGCGGACATGTGCACAGCATTTACAAGCTGCAAACAGATAATCGATACATTGTTTACTGTACTGTACTATGCAGTGTGTACCGCTACTACTGCCTTACTGAGCTTTCACTAAAACGAACAGCTAGCGCACAAGCAGCCATCCACATGTGACACTGCATAAAGTCGAATATGTAGCTCTGCCCAGAATACTAATCGAAAATCCGGGCCTCCTCGGAGTGAGCAGGGACGTCAGGTCGATGAAGAAGTCGTCTGCATTGACTTGACGTCCCTGCTCACTGGTCGGGCCAGAAGAAGCCTGTCACATCTTTTCTCGTGAAGATCTAAGCAGTAAAGCCGGAAGCTAACTTACAGCAGTGAAAACACTTTGCACTTCCCGATCCATGATACCCGATGTCACATCAGGAAGCCGAGCTGAAATCCAGAGGATGCAGGAGGAGACGACCGGACAAGACAGCCAGGGAAGCGGCGATCAACCTGCTCTGGCCTGCGGCAGGCGATGGCGAAGGCAGCACCTGCAAAGCAGAAAGGCTGTAGCTTCTCGCTATGGAGGAGGCAATGCTGTAAATGTACATATGTTCTCTCATTCAATTTAATGGGGCAACAAGTAGAAGTTTAAACAACTCAGTGGAGTCCACCATGTAAGCAGAGTCAGCGGCAGTGGTATGGTGTGGGCCAATGCGCTTGCAGGCATGTTGGGTTTGGGCTGGTCTAACCTAGTATTCAATGATAGCACTGGTCCAACCATTTTCCTCGCCGCCCGGATGAATTTCCATGGCAAGCCGTAGGCCAAGGCCGGATCATTTGCCGCCCTTGCCTTTGCCGTCATTCGGGCCCTTGCCTTTGTCCTTGCCCTTGCCGCCCTTCGGACCAGCAGGCCTAGGCGGCGTAAACGGCTCCGGCCTCCCTCTGGGCATGTTCGGGCCTGGGAAAGTCGGCCGCGGATTCGGACCAGAAGGCAGCGGATTCGGACCCAGAGGCGCTGGCGAGGAAGGCGGCGGCAGTGGAGCCAGTGGAGCCGGCCGCGGAGGCAGCAGGATCTGAGGGAGCAGAAGGGCATGTGCAGACTCTGTCACAAAGCCTACATGTGGGCCGACACGACACTTCTATTGCATCATTTACTGAACTGGGAACCGGAATTTGTTTTGCAAAACACCCCGCCGTGTTCGGGTCCTGCTTAAAGTAAGCTGCAGCCTGCTCGCGGTACTGCTCCGGAGTGATTCGACCATAGGCCTTAGTATAGCCAAGTTCTATGGCATGGT